CAAATACTATTAGAACCAACTAATGAATTCAGTAAAGCTGTTAACAAAATTAACATACAGCAATCTGTTATACTTCTATATAGTAATAACAAACCAGCAGGAGAATTTAAGAAAACAACCTCATTTACAATTGCATCAAAAACAAAATAACAAATTAGTGTAATCAACGAGGTGAAAAACCTATACTCTAAAAACTATAAGGCACTGATGAAAGAAAATGAAGAAGACACAGTAATTGGAAAGATACTTCATGCTCACAGATTCAAAGAATTAATATTGTTAAAATGTCCATATAACCAAAGAAATCTACTCTTCAGTGCAATCCTAATCAAAATAGCAATAGTATTCTTCACAGAGCTAGAACAAATAATCCTGAAATTTGTATGGAACCACAAAAAAAAAAAAGAATAACCAAAGCAATCTTGAGAAAGAAAAACAAAGCTGGAGTTATTAAAATCCCTGGTTTAAAACTATACAACAAAGCTATAATAATCAAAACAGTATGGTACTAGAATAAAAATAGACATATAGATCAATGGAACAGAATAGAGAGCCCAGAAATAAACCCAACCTTATATGGTTAATTAACCTATGGCAAAGATGGCAAGAATATACTCTGGGGTAAAGCAGTCTTTTCAATAAATACTGCTGGGAAAACTAGACAGCTACTGGCAAAAGAGAGAAACTGGACTATTTTCTTGAACTAGAAACAAAAATTAAACTCAAAATGAATAAAAGACCTAAATGTAAGACTTGAAACCATAATACTCATAAAAGAAAATACACACAGTAAACTCTTAGACATTAGCCTTAGCAATACTCATCTGGATCTGTGTCTCCATGCAAGAAAAACAAAACCAGAAATAAGTGGGATTACATCAACTAAAAAGCTTTGCACAGTGAGGGAAACCATCCACAAAATAAAAAGGCAACCCACTAAGTGGGATTATTATATCCAAGGAGTTAATATTCAAAAAATATAAAGAACTCACACACTATCAAAAAGCCCCAAATGATCCAATTAAAAAACAAGCACGGGATCTAACAGATATTTTTCCAAAGAGAGACAGATGGCCAACAGATACATAAAAAGATGCTCCACATCACTTTTCATCAGGGAAATGCAAATCAAAACCACAAAAACAGTCAGAATGGTTAGCATCAAAATCATAGGAAATAACAAGTGTTGCCTAGCCTGTAGAGAAAAGGGAACCCTTGTGCACTTGGTGGGAATGTAAACTGGTCCAGCCACTATGGAAAAAATGTCATATGCAAGAAGATATTAATTCCAGTACTACATATTATAGAAAACTAGAAACCAAGTACCTCTGTAAGGACCTGATTTCATAAAGCATGCTGTACCAATCCAATATAAAATGATGAAGCTATTTAAAACTGTTAATACCAACAGCTCATGGAAATATTAGAATTGACTGACACAGTCTAAAACATTATAAAAGAGTTATAATTAAAAGGAATTCAAATTATGAAAAATATTGATACAAGTTAACAAATCACAGAAGATACTATTTTCTCTTTTATTTTGCTATCATTAATATACAACTACATGAGCAACATTGTGGTTACTAGATTCCCCCCATTATCAAGTCCCCACCACATACCCTATTACAGTCACTGTCCATTAGCTTAGTAAGATGCTATAGAGTCACTACTTGTCTTCTAGAAGATACTATTTAATTAAAATTGTCCGTGTCAAGATGAGGAAATTATGGCTAGTTATTTTCCCTTCTGAAACTGAGGTTTTCACAACTGAAAAAAAGTCAGGGAGCAACAGATTGAGACCATCTAAGATTTTCTCTGCCACAGTAAAATACTGAGATTTAAGATAATACATAATCTAAAAGAGAATGCAGAGGATTATGAGATTATGAAAGAAAAGGCAGCTGAGAACACGGGGAAGGCCAAGGCCTTGGAAGCCAGATGGGCCTGGGCACCCTTTGGCAGTCTTCGTTATGTCACCTGCAAAACCAGAAAACAAAGCCAGCATCTCAGTCTGTAACAGGCTTTTGAAAAAACACTTACATTATATATGTAAAATACATGTTATGTTGCTGCACCTACTGAACTTGAAGCTATTATTTTTGGAAAGTATATACAAAAAGAAATAGGAAAAGCATGTGTGTTAAGGTGAGGACTAAAAAGCAAAGTACCTTAGAAGGCATAACAATTATATAAATGAATGCCCATAAATGTATAAATTAGGAGCAAAATGTTCACTGAGTTACAAAATAAAAGACAAAAACTCCTGTAATGTTAAATTTAAATAGGCAATGTCATTATGAACTTCCGATTTTTTTACAGTATTATTTCTCAGCTTTTTTACAGTATTGTTTCCACGGAGAAGTCAGACAAGAAGTAACACCCTAGTAACAACAAGCCAGTGCCCAGTTCTTTGTTTCTAAGCATCATCACCAACTTAAAGCAACCAGGGCTTCTCAGAGAAAAGAGTGATGCCCAGGTCAGAGGCAGGAAAAATCCGAGGTGAGCCAGGGACACCCCCTAGCTTGAAGGGGCTCTCAAAACCACACTGGAGCACTTTGAGCATCTGAGATAGTAATAGCAACGGATTATAATACACTGAGTTTAAAATAAAGCAAGCCATGAACTTGTACTGATACAAAACATTGAAAAAGAAAGAAAAGAGGGCAGAGGTAAGAAAGCTTTTCTTTACCAAGAATGCTGAACAATGTATATGGGAGAAATGATAAAATTAGAAAAATCACCACTCTTTAGACACCAGTGCAATAACTGATTCAGGAAAGGATCACCTTGGATGCTGAAACTATTCTGGGAAAGGTTGCTGGGAAACAGGATATCCACGGGTTCTCAAAGTACCTTTTTTACTTTCTTGTAAAAAGTACTAATTACAGAATAAGAATGGTCCTTACACAATGGAAATAACCTAGTGGACACCATCTCAACCAAGCAATCAAAACTCAGCATCATCAATGCTGGGACAACAAGCCACCTGAGGAAATACAACAGGTGGTACAGAATCTCTCCTAACCTGCACCCAGAAGTTTAGTGTGAATCCTGGCATGAAAAAATAACCAGACATGTCCAGAAAGGGGACCCTCAACAAAACAACTGGCTTGGATTTTAAAAATCAATGTCATGAATAAAAAAACAATAAAAGGCAAGAGTCTACTCCAGATTAAAAGAGATACAATAACTGCATTATAAAACAAGAACTTTGGATCCTGGATTAAAAAAAGCAGTGGGCCATTTGAGTTGGGGGGCAGTGGAAATCTCCAGTATATTTGGCAAAGGACTGTATATTGGGTGATTTTTGACGTGACTGTTAATCCTTCTAAGTATGATAGTGGTATGGTGGTTATGTAGGAGAATGCTCTTACTATCAGAAGATCAATGCTGAAGTATCATGATGTCTGCAATTTATAGTTGAATGGTCCAGCCACAAAGGGAAATTATGTGTGTACATATATGTGTGTAGAAAGCATGTGTAGAAAGATGGAGCATAAAGGTGGCAAAAATGTTAATAGTCAATCTAGATGAAGGGTACACACTGGGCACTCACTATATTCATCTTTCTATTTTCCTGTAGTTTAAAATTTTTTTTAACTATCAAGTATGAAAAAATGGATCTTAAACCTCGAATCAAATCATTCTCATTGTATGTGAGTTTGGTCACACATCCCCTGAATCATAAGCATAGGGGATGTGGAAGTAACAAATTTTCCTCAAAAAAATGTTTGCTAGAAAGAGTCTATGTTCCATCCAGCTTTTGCTTCCATGGACGAGTGTGAAGTATTCCTCAATCTTCCTGGCACTCCCCCAGAGAGGCCCAGGGAAGGAATGAAGACCTGCTTGTGTGTTACATTTTCTGACCAAGCAAAGCATGCCACCCTCCATAGGGCAGAGAAGGGAGACCAAAGTAACCCATAGCTGCTGTCAGATCAAAGCCAGAAGGTGCAGTCCAGCCACTCTCGGGGCGCTGCATGGTGGCTCGCTGCCAGCTTCCTCCCCATCCCTCCCAGTCACAATAGGTCATTTCCATGCAAGATGGGACAACAGATGCATAAATAAGAAAAGGGAAGTACTGGTAAAACCTGAGAGCCCTTCACAGTACATCAAGATTTTACTTTGGTTGGATCCCAAACCAATCCATGTGAGAAAATCAGACACGTGACAATGGAGATAGCTCAGCACTAGAGACCATCCCCCCAGAATGGTAAGTAACTGAAATCTACCAAAGGGGGTACTGGCAAGCAGGAAGGGCAGAAGGCTCGTTTCAGATTATGTAGGGAAGGCTGGTTCTCGGAAATTAAACTTGGTTATTAAGGCACATGGGTGTTCATATTAGCAGGAGTTCAGGGATGCCAATTCTGCACTTGATGATTAAAGCCAATCACAAGCTAACAAAGCTTAGAAAAGACTCATTTTTAAAATGTGAAGAGAGAAGACTGATAAGGGAAAAGAATTACAAAGGCACTTTGCGAAGTGTCCTATTAAGTTTAGATGGTTTAGTTTATTCTAGCTTAGGTAGAATGCTTTTCTTGGAGATTTGGAAGGATCACCATAGTATTCTGCCTGTGAGATTCACAGCATTTAATCATATGTGATATTTCAAAAGAGGGAAAGATCATAGAAAAGTTATGTTCATAGAGCTACATTTTTAAATTTACTCATTACAGCTGCTCTGAAAAATACCCATATACATATACATGGGCACTCTAGTGTATATTCATACCACTTACCCACTACAATAATTCTGGGAAACTATAAATAGTTCTTTAAACTATGTCAAAAAATACACATACAGAATCCCCAAATGTGGTAAGAATACTGAGGGAAATATTAAGGGTATCACTTGTAAAATAATGTGTTAAATGTAATAGGTCAAGAAAATGCTCTGAAGAGATGGGAAGGTACACAGTGACTTCCTAATCATTAAAGCAACAGCAAACCCATTTCAAACAAAAAAAAAAATGAAATGAGAAGATTAAAAATAAACATACCCATCTTTGGTCTGATCCACCACACCACTTAAAAGTTCCACAGTCTTTGGATTAGGCTGGCTTTCCCCAAAAATGTTCAAATATCGAGTGACAAAGTCATTGGGAGACATGAAAAATTCACCATTTTTTTCAATGCTTGCATACTGTTTAGAGAAAAAGAGAAAAGGTATTTTATTCTCAAAGGTATATAATCATGAGATCAATATGTGAAAAAGCTGAAAATATTCAAAGGATAAAACATCAGATATGATGATATACTCTTCATAAGGACAGTTATTCCCCATCACCTGAAGAAAAAAACAGAAACATACTGTTTGCCAAGTTTTATATTTATACCACTGGTTCTCAGCTGGGAGCAGGTGAGCCTGACTGTTCAGCTTATGAACACCAATGTCCCCGAATAACCAAGCACAGTCTAGAACTAGCTCTCTCTGTGTTTTACCTGCCTTTCTGGAGTGGAGTTCTCAAGCTCTTCATCTCCTTCATTTGTGTTTTCTCTGTCGGAAACATGAGACATACTAACTGTGTCTGATGACAACTTTGACTGTCACAACTTGGAGGGCGAGAGATGCTACTGGTATCTCACTGGCAGAGGCCAGGAATGCTGCTAAACATTCACAACGTACACGGTGACCTCCATACGACAGAGTGATCCAGCCCAAATAGCGCTGAGATCGCGAAACCCTGCTTTTCAGAAATTTGGAGAGACAATGCATTTTTTTTAGTAGCATTATGAAAGCATGGATGTAAACAGCCTAGTTCTTTTGCCCCCATTCCTGCTTCAAGGGTATCAAAGATACAAGAAATGATGATAAGTTAAGCTGAAGAGCAAACTATTAACTGCTCAGCTACTTGTGGGGTTTTATGATGCAAGTATGAAATGCTGCTCTAGTTAGTGCCCTCTCCGCCCTAGAGCAGAAACGGTCAGTAAGCATTAGGCGGCATGCAATGGTTTTTCACACCATCCTCCCAGGTCTTGCCTTTAGCGTGATACATTCCAGATCATGTAAGTGGGTATGTGCTCATTCCTGTTCCGTGGAGCCCCTGGGGCTGTGGAAATGCTGAGAAACAGGACAGGCATTATATGGTATCCTATGGAGCAGGAGATCCTGGGTCTAGAATAGTGATTTGGGGTGGGGAGGGGAGGACTGTGAGCTACATGAAGAATAGGGCTGGATGGGTGACAGGGAAAACACTGGGGGCCACAGTGATGGGGGGCACACCGTGGAGTGAGGTTAATGATAGTGTCTCTGGTTCCTCTGTAACCCAGAGTTAAGCCCAATTAAAACCTATTTTAAAAACCACTTGTTATTTCTACATTTTAATTCCATTGCAGTTTAATAAACTCTTGTCTAGATCCTCATTAACAAGCTTTGGAGTTCCTTGGGCCTGGGCTGCCTGCCCCAAGCTCTGCTTCTGCCTCTTACACCTATATGACCTCAGGTTACCAAATGCTTTCTAGGCCTCTGGCTCCTCACCTGTAAAATGGGAACATTACCTGCTTCATAAGCCTGGTGCTAGAAATCAATGAATAATCTTGTCACATACTTAGCCCAATGCACCACATACAACACTTTATAAATGTTCTGTATTAATTGGTTTTTACTTAACATTTTTAGCACAGTGCAAAATAAAAGCTCAAAAGATGGCCCAATAATTTTACTATCCTCCAGTCAGCACTGAATCCAGCTTTTTAGAAACATAGAAGAAATATATTTTGATATTCCTAACTGAGGCAAAACAAGACTGAAATATAAAGGAAATATCACTGCTAATTACAGCAATCCTCTGATTTAGAATTAAACCTGTGTTTGCTTATAGTAGTAATTTATTATGAAACACAGTTTAAATCTTCTTCCACCAGGAGACACTCAAATTATTTCCAATTCTGGGAATTTTTAAATAAAGCTAGGTAACCAGCTTTGTATATAACATTTGCCCAAATTCCTGACAATTTTCAAAGGCTAGACTCCCAGCAGAGAAATTGCTGAGTCAAAGGAGAAGAACTTTAAGGCTCTCGATACTTATTATCACACTGCTCTCTGGAAAAGATTGTACCAATTTACACTCCCACCAACAGTGTGTATACATGCCCTTTTCCCTCTTTGTCCATCATATTTGTGCAAATATTTTTCCAGTTTGATATTTTTATATAATTGAGTTTGTAGACTTTTTTCCCCCTTGCAATTTCCTCCATTACTCCTAAGTTCAGAAACCAGTTTATCTCAGGACTAAATATTTACCCACATTTTTTCTTAGCTTTTTCTTTAAGTAGGTTTTCTTTTCACCTTTAAGTTTCCATACATTGCTACTTTATCTTTGTATGTGATTTGAGGTAAGGATCCTCCAACTTTGGTTTCTTCCACTTAATCTCCTGTTGGCTCCCGACCACAAATCAAATCATTCTCCCTTCTCCACTCTTTAGAGTGCCATGTTTACCACATACTAAATTATCACACCTGCACCATGGAAAGGGTTGGTTGGCAAACAAGCCCACTTCCAGTACCAGTTCTGATCAGCTGGCAATGGCTTCCCAGGGTTAAGATGTATTCCAAGGCTGCCTCCAAACTCCATGGGACAATGCCAGGATGGGCTCACAGTTCTTGTCATTACAGAAGCAGGAAATGTTTCAAGGACTATCCTTGTCAATTGACATGTCTACTCTTGCAAGATTACGTACATTGTCACAGTTATAACTAGAGGGATAGCTCTGTCAGAAGAGGCCTTTTTCTGCCTGTCTCTCTGTTGTATCCTCAAGTTCCCAGACTGCTGCTGCCTGGCAGACAGTGAAACATTCTCAGTAAATATTTGTCAAATGAAGGAAAGGTTAAAATTATTGTTTTACCTTGTCTAGCTCGGATTAACACATAGTCTACAGGCACACACCTGATCATCTACAATTGCTCTCTTACAACACTAAACTATGTTTTCTACCTTTATCTTGCATCTACCTACCACTTCAGCATTTTATTAAAAATAAAAATAATAATAATAAAGGGAGAAATGTGGGATCCACATAAAAATCAAGTATAAAAATCAAATGAATATTCATATTTGACCTGATTGTTTATAGTTAATAATGCATGATCAAAACCAAAAGTTTCTATGATGACTGCCCTTGTACTGTTCACCATGTAAGAACTCGTTCACCATGTAAGAACTTGTTTGTTATGCTTCAGAAAATTGGAGACTGATGAGAATTAGGCTTGAGATGGATTAATGATTGTGCATTGAGCATTGACTCCCCTATACAGAATTTTATTGTTGTTAACAACCATTTGATCAATAAATATGAGAGATGCCCTCTCAAAAAAAAAAAAAAGAATTATTGTTTTACTTCCCTTCTGAAAGTTTTCTTGGCTATGATCACTCTGTGATTGTCCCCAAATGACCTTAGAATCACTGTCTAGCTGCTGACCCCTAAAACAACTACATTGAAAACGCAAAGTAAAACTACAATGCAATACCACTACTCATACACACGAGAATTAAAAGGTAATACAAGTGTTGGCAAAAATGTGGAGCAAATGCAATTCTGACACACTGCTGTCATGAGAATAACTGGTGAACCACTGTAGAAAACTGCTTGGCAATATCTACTATAACCGAACATACACATAACCCACATAACCACAGATCCAGCAACTTCAATTCTAACTCTAACCTCTAATGTGTACACACACACACACACACACTAAAATGCTTTTGCATTTTAATGTCCACAGCAGCATTATTTTGAGTGGCAAAAAAAAAAGGGAAAATAACTCAAACATCACCAGTGGGATGTATAAATCAACTATAGTATAATCACACAATGGAATACAATACAGCAGTGAGCATAAACTAATACCAACTACGTACAACACTGTGGATGAATCTTACAAGCAGAGAAACATATGAATTTATATATAAGAATACTTATTATATGACTCCATTTATATGAAGTTGAAAGCCAGGCAAATCTAATATATAGTAATTAAAGTCAGACAAACGCGTCCTCTTGGAAGAGATGGGTAATGACCAAAAGGGACACCAAAAGGCTGCTGAGATGCTGGTTACCCAGGTGTGCTTACTCTGAAAACATTCATGGAGCTATACATTTATGATTTGTGCATTTCATTTATCCCTCAATAAAAGGTTTACCATTAAAAATCATTGAGGCATCTTATCTGCCTATTTTTTAGAGGTGATAAATTGTCTCTAAAATTTAAGAACATGTTCATCTGTTCTTGATTATCTATTTGGGGGTACAAACAGAAAACACCCCTGTTTTCTTCAGTTTGCAAAACCAGCTCCTCACTACGGATGGAGTGGTATGCCTTAGGATTAAAGGAAATCCATCAAAGGCTGCTCCTTAGACTGGTGCGAGAGGCAGACCATAATAAGAAGATGCTGACAAAGGCAGCCCGGCTGCCCTTCCAGCAGTGAAAAGTGGTCCCTGTCAGGGGAGTGGCCTCTACCCTAACAGCTACCACATCTTTAAAATGTCATTTAATCTTTCTCTGTGAACAGATTTTACAAGTGTCTTGGAGCCTCTCTCTCCCTTACAATTTTTGCAAGTTTTAATATGATTAGGCATATACTTAAGAAACAGGAAGGCTTTTAGGATTCCTTGCACAACCCAGTATTAACATGAACTGTGATGGTTAATTTTATGTGTCAACTTGACCGGCCAAGGGGTGCCCAGATTAAAGATGATTTCTGGGGGTGTCTGTGCAGGTGTTTCTGGATAAGACTGGCATTTGAATTGGTGGACTCAGTAAAGAAGACCGCCCTTCCAAAGTGGGGAGGCATCCTCCTATGTATTGAGGATCTGAATAACATAAAAAGTGGAAGGAAGGAGGAAGAATTCACCTCCTTTTTTTCCCACCCCATTGCTTGAACTGAGACGTATCTTCTCTGGCCCTTGGACTGAGATTTACATCACCAGCTCTCCTGGTTCTCAGGCCTTCAGACTTAGACAGTTACAGCACCATGTGTCCTGTCTCCAGCTTACAGACAGTAATCAAAGGACTTCCTGGCCTCAGTAATGGATGGCGTGAGCCAATTCCTCATAATAAATCTCATTAGATAGACAGATACAGAGCTAGAGATATCTCCTACTGCTATGCTTCTTTAGAGCACCCTAACTGATAAACTGTCA